AATCATTGACGTAATTACAAAGACAGATGGTGGCACATTGATTTTATCAAAGTTAACGACCTCTATGGCTATTAAAGTGTACCCAGTTTCTTACCACTGAGGTAATTAGACTTTTTAAAGTTAAATATTAATCAGACAGCCTTCTGGATTAAAAAAAAAAAAAGAGAGAGAGAGAGACTTGGCATTCCCTGGAAAGATTTCAGATGGCAGCATCTTTAAATATTTACAACTCAGTCCTCCTCTCACATGGATGCAAAGCACTCTGATAGGAACCTGGGCCCTGCAGAAGCCACAGAAATTTCTTGCCTCTGTTTTCTGATACTCTCCATGTGAGAGCTAAAACATACAGGTAAAGGTGCATTCCTCCAGACCTTTGTTTACTCAGTCCTAATGCTACATTAAAGCAGAAAAAAAAATACTAGTAGAAGGCTAACTTCTGTTTTCTGCAATTGGTGCACCTAGGGGAAAGTATTCAATGTCCAAGTTGAAATAATTTTAAGAATGTTTACAATGGTTCAGAGACAAAGTCCCAAATCCCCTTGATTTTCTGTCACTGACTTGGAAGGAGATTAAGATATTTAAATAAAGTTTTGACTTTCTGAGCAGCCACAAAACCTAATTAGGGTATCAAGACTGTCTGTCTGAGCATTCAAAATCAGATTTGCTGTCCAGCTAGAGAGTCTTTGCCATGGCAGGAGTACATGACCCAAAGTGGAACTATGTAACCTTAAACACAAGCCCCAACTCAATATACTACTAGGTCAGAGCTGTTTTTTTCTGGTAGCTTACGAAACTGCCAAGCCATCTGTCTACAATTCCCTAAAGCAGCCCCCAGGCTGTTTAATAGATGTTCCTATGACAGGAGTGGAAATTGTATCACACTTTGTTTCTGGACAGCATAGCTAAAGATATAGACTTGTCTCTGGCCAGCAATGGAGGCTATTCCAACAGACTCAAAGGTAGTGTTTCCCTGCTACTGATATAAGCAATATTATTTGCTTCACTGATGATATAAGTCAGCTTTCTACTAACTGCAAAAAAAAACTTTATAAAAGACTCAAAGTTTAAAGTTTTTAGAGCATAAGAGCTAAAATGTACAGAGATACTTTTCAAGCATTGAAAAGTTCAGAGCTTGCTTAACTTCCTTTGGCTTGCAAAGGTTTCAGCAAAGTGCCTTTCAAGTACACATACAAAATATCCATCCCTATTGTATATCCTACCACAAATCTCAGGATTTGCAGTAGTATCCAGGTATGCAATTTTTATTTAAGTAAATGTAAATGGAAAAGGCTTTTAAAAAATGCTACTATGCCCTGCTCCTTTGTGCAGCTTTATACACATGGAGAGGCTAATGACACAAGGAGAGCTTGACTGCTCCCCTTGCAACATCTACGGCTGCCTAAGGAACCTGCAGATCGCTGGGATGAAAATGCCGCTCCTTTCACATGACCCAGTGTTTCCTAACACTGGAGTGGTTAAGACAGACAATAAAACCACAGACATTAGCTCATGCTGAAGCTCCCTGCTGCTTTCAACCTTGGTATCCATAAATTAGATGTTCTGCTCCTACTTTCACTGGGCAGTTCAATCTAACTGGTATTCTTAGAGTGTTCTATTTGATTTGACTGTATACAAAACAAGGAAGAAGATATTACCATTTCAACTGGATTGGCATCTCAGTGGGATTTTCATTCACCCTACATCATCAACAATCTAGATTTAGGTCATCTAAACCATTTAGGAAAGACAGTTTAATTGATTTTATTTTTTTCTTCTTCTTGTCCATTCCTTTAGTCTTTCCTCTGATTTATTCTTTTCGCATGCCTGTAAATTCTGGAAAACATTTTCCTCTTTCCTCATTTTTGTTTTCTTTTTATTGTCCCTTTGTTCTCTTCACACATGCACACTTTTATTCTTCTGTCTTCCTCTTTTCCTTTTGAAATACAATGATAATCCCATCATGACTCATCAGACAGAGTAGATTGCTGAGTTTCACTCATTTTTTCCCACTGTCCATTCTATACTACCTGTAGAATTACCCTTTGCACCAAAAGCCATCAGGATAGTAGCAAAGAGTGGCAGAAAAGGCAGACTTTGGAATAATACAAGCCTGTTCTGCAAAGACAAGACTGCACTCAATTCAAAACTACACTTTCCTTCTCAAGCAAAGATTACATGTCCAATGCAACATAGTATGTTAGAGAAGCAAAGGTGCTGAGGGTCACTTCAGCATCCAATATACCAAGTTCTCTCCAAGAAAGCACTGGCCATCAGAGTTGGAAATCAAGCAATGAAGAGACCAGTGATTGAAGAGAGGTGGTTTCTCAGATGAGAGCAGAACACTAAAGGAAATGGTGATCTATGTCAATGTATGCTATTCCTTGGTATAGTGATAAATAATGCCAGTTTTATTCTTTTCTATATGAAACCAGATAGTCATTACAGGTTCCCATAACCTAGAAGCAAATATATACATTTGATTTGGAATGAAAGGATTGAAATTGGAAAAAATCCCTGTTTTCTTTTGTTTTTCCCACTCTTGTTGGTTTTGGAAGAATATTAAGAATTAATGTTTCCCACAAGAGAAAGATGCTAAAGACATTTCAATCATTTCCTATGTGGGGTTTTGTATTTTGAAACCAGATTTGAATAGTAGATGAAGTTATCATCTAAAATGAGATCAACAATCCTTCAAGGCATAAACATAAAGCAGTAGGAAGCTGGATACGAAATATACAGAGACTGCATAATAAAATTGATGGAATTTTGTCCCATATCATATGGTTGAGTAAAAGAGGAGAAGGTATATAAACATAGACCAAATAACTGGAGCCAGGCTCATGACTTATTGATGCAACATATGAGGTAGAGAATACAGAGGATGGACATGTCACAGACAGTAATGTGGCTATAATTTTAGTAAGGGAATATTTACTAATGAAAAGGACTGAGGAGAAGATATATGCTGTGTTCTTTTTTAAAAAACAGCATGCAAGACACTGCTCATCTCTGAGTTTGGGTATTTCATGTCCAGACTACAAGTCCACCAAGGCCAAGGTAATATCAACACTGCAGCTGGTTTGCTGAGCTTATATTTACTTTGGACTCTTCTCTCTTTGATCTCTGGATGGCTTTGTCCTTCTTGTCCCCTGTAATATCATGAAAAGCTAAATTTGTATGATGTAAGAGTAGCCATGGATAACAGGGAAAAACAACTTGCAAAACTCTTCATTGGTATCTCAAGAGTGTTCATGAAAGAAATGGAACACGCACAAAGTAAAGCACTTGCAAGGGAGGGAAGAGGGTTTTTCTCTATTAGGCTTGTAGGAAAGGACACTGAGACAGGAGGCTTGGCCCAACATGGGCCAAGATGCAGTTCCATAAAGTGCTACTGAACCAGGAGATGCCAAGAAGAGGATGTACTAGAAAGTCAAGGCAAACTCAGCAAACTCAGCAAAGGAGGGCAAAGCGCAACCTCAAGCCTTGAAGTCATGGCCAGGAGTTTTTGATGGCATCCAGTGAAATGATATCAACATTGCCCAGATCGACCAAAAAGGCTCTGGTGGGGGCTCACAACACCCAGCATCGTTTGCATCACTGCCTGGCTGAGAGAGGTGATGGTGTGTCCCACTAACATGGCTGGACTGTGCAAACATTGCGACATGGTGACAAGATCTCACTCCCTGCTCTGTGCTATATAAGGCACTGGCTTGCCATGCTCTACAAGGTACAGCACCACTGACCTAGTGGCTTTGCTCCCCAAGCCACAAGGCCACTAGTTTGAAAACCAGCTACTAATATTCAAAATGAGGTAAGGGCTGGTCTATCCTCTTCTATGTTTATAAAGGACTGAGAATTTTACTGCAGGGATTTAGAAATTTTTTTTTTTGCCCAGCCACAAATATCTCAAAATAGTTTTTGTTTAGTTCTCAAAATATTCATGAAGGAATCTCTCCTGGGAGTTTAGGAAATAAATAGCTTATCCTGGGCAGACTATTTATTTCCAGGATGTTTACTTGTGCAATCCATGCGATTGTAAAGTGCCTCCATTTCTCAAGCGCTCTTTCAGCTCCTTGGGGGCACATAATTTAAACCTAGCGACTTTCCCCGTATACTGACAGCCTGTTATTCCTAAATATTAAACTGGCAGTTCCAATTCTCTATTCATAGTGCAATTATTAATACAGCAAGAGAGGGTGGCTTGTGATTAGGTCTGAAATGCCCAGACTCACTGGAACCACAAGTTCAAACCCTGTTGAGATCACCTCTGCCTTTCACCCCACAGAGCTCTTTGAGCTCTACAGCCTCAGGTCAGCTGTGAAATTAGGTCTGCCTGGTCAGCTAAGATCTTCGAAGGTCTACGGGTCATGTTTTGTGCTCCCTCAAATCGCTTTTTACATCTGCTGCTGCTGCCCTTCACCAGGGACCAGATGGTCAATTCTGCAGCACTGGGTGCAAAACAGCTGCAGATCCCTGTTGATGAAGATGATGGTCCTCTACCTGAACCACACCATTTCAGCAGGTGTAGTCATCATCCAGGAGCTGGTATTTAGGCACCACTGCTTCAAGGCAAAATATTGTCATTTTTACAATCATCATCTGTAAATGCTCTGAAAATCATAATGTGGTAAAATGTCATTTTATTCTGACTACTTCTGTTTCTTATAAGAAGAAACTATTTCATGGCAGGTAATTCATTTGCCTTATTTTTTTTACTTAGGGTAAGAGAAGTGGTGAGAAAATAAAATCAGGATGGAAACAGATACATTAAATCAACAACAGTCTTGGGACAAACAGATCCTGAATGTACCATAAGCAACTATATGAGGCCAATAAAACACTACATATATTCCTGTGACTGAAATAAGCAGCAAGTAGTAGAGACTAAAGAGCAGTAAATGTAGCTTTTAGATACGCTGGCTAACCTGTCTCCCTATGATTATTTCATTCTATACTTCTATTTAGTAGTTTGCTCTATCAGCAACACTTCTAGTGAAACTTCCACAAAAATGCTAATGGTGACTTTTAAGGACTCTCTTCAGCAAAGAATGCTGGGACATTACTGGGCTATAAGAATGGAAGTAACAGCTGAAGCCAAGTCACCTAAGATTTAGGAGACAAGTGAAGACCGTCAGGAGGAGTGGTAAGGCTGTTGTGTTTTGTCAAAGTTGCTACAAGATGTATTCTCCAGCTGCAAGCTCCAATGTTCTTAAATGTTTTTCTATTGTTTCAGACTTTTTACATCTTTTATTTATAATGGTTTCACTGAAACAGTTGAGCTGTGAAAGTTTGTTGTTTGCATGCACATGTCTCTGCAGCTCTTTAAGAGGTGTGAGAAGATAAAAGCATTTTATTTTTACCATTAGGAGCTCTGTTAGGGAACTTTCTTAAAAAGTTAACTCTAAAAGCAGACATAATTTTAATTGAAGACTTAAGATTTTCATTAGTGAAAAAAGGTGAGGTATTAAAATATCCAGTTATGAAATGTTTTAGGTTTAAATAAATAATGTTGCAGATTCCTTGTACATTCCCTCTAATATTATTCATACAAATGTATTTGTACGAATAGGAGCTGTAGCAAGCTCCTATAATAATGACTAAGTGAAGTCAACCAGGCAAAACAGGGAGAGAGGAATCTGTTGAGGAACATGAGGAGCTGTTATTCAACCCATGGCTATGGGTTGAAAGTGCTGCTTATAAGGCATCACACAAACTATCTCTGTTAAAGAATGGGAGAAGTAGAAAAGGCTATTTGAATGAACTTGAAAAAGGAGGTTTCTTTTTCCTTCTCTTTCTTGTTCTTTCTTTTTCTCCCCTCTTCCCTCTCCCATTCATCCCCTGAACACAGATGGGCAATTTTGCTGTATTGAAAAGCTTAAAGGATCTTAATTATTTTATTTGCTCTGTGTTCTCTAGAAATACAAAGCAGGTGTGAAACTCTGCTAAACCCATAGATCCTGCACAGGTGCAAGACATTCCTGAGGAGTAGAGAATAGAGGTCTTTGACTTGAGCAAATGCCTCTCTGCCTTTGATCTATGGGGTTTTGAATAAATTAACAAGTTGCCACCTTCTTCATGAGCTTCAGGAGCTCAATAATTATCAGCAATACTTCATCATCCTTTTAAATAAGACATTTACTTTTAATGATATCTGTACTACTGGATATATTAATATTTTTCACTTGTAGGAAGTCAAGTTCCTTTTCCTTTTTAATGGAAGCTGGGAGTGTTTAGCAGAATCCTTAACAAAGAAAGCAGCTTGCTGGTGTTGTAGATTCAGATTAAAACATGTAAAACAATTGTATTAGGATCAAGGTGAGAGCCAGCATAAGGACAAAGTCAAACAATAAGTAGGAGGGAAGGACAGGTTTGTGACTGCTGTTTTAGGAAAATAAATTTTTAGCAAGAGATGCTTGCCTGAAACCAGAACTTCCTCACTCATCTTCTCAAAGGACTTTCATTTTTCATAACCTGTGCTAATCCCTTCTCCATGCAGCAGTTATTTGTCTAGCCAGTGTTAGCAGCTGCAACCAAAAAAAGCACATTACAGAAGACTAGCAGAGGAGGAAGCTGGTTGTTGTGTTGTGGGTGTGGCATTGTTCTATATTGCTCAATTTTCAACAGGACTTTTATACCCTAGGAAGCATATAGATTTATACAAACAATAAATTCCATGTAATGGCAGATTGCTGTGAATAAAATAGGAATGCCTTGGATTTATGGGTTTTGTTTGTTTATTTTTGAATAGTTAGATATCTTGTACTTGCATCGCTGTTCACAAAGAGAGTTTCCAGTTTTCTTTTTTATCTTCTTAAGACACCAAACCTGACTTGGAGATGTCAGAGGAAGAAGATTCCTTTCTAAACGTTAAAAGATCTCTGAAGAAGCGAATGGTGAAACATAGCACTCCAGTGGACTCAATACTCTCAAGAACTATGCTATCTCTTACAGACCTGACAAATCAGTCAATCAGGGACCAAGATGCCACTAAGAGATGTTACGGATCCCCAATGCCAAAAATGTCTCTAAGCAAATCATTAGCTCAGGTATCATCAGTACGTGTTGAAGCGTACTTCCCTCAAGTAATATCCCCAAAAGGACTTTCAGTAGTCTTTGACTCGGAAGAATCAAGTGAAGAGATAAGCCAAAGTTCTCGGGCTTTATTTTCTAGAAGGAGACTTTCAACAGTGTTGGCCTCAGATGAATCTGCTGAAGATCCAAGCAATAAGACTGTCTTAAATGTGGAAGCAGAAGTTCCAGCCGAGGAGGTCACAGCAGCTCCCAAGAGTGCTCTTTCATGGTTGGTTACTGGGATACCAGGCATAAAAGATCCTCCAATAGCAAAAACAAAAAAGAAGAGAATAGATAAAGCTCTTGTGGTAACTATGTTCCCATTTTTTATGAAATTCCTAAGCTACTTCCTACAATGTTGAGTATATCCAGATCTTCCGAGTAGTATGGGCATGTCTAACAAAATCTCCTACAATTTTAGTACTGAGTATCCATGGAGCATAAATGTATGACATTATGTATATAACTGTCCTAAACATAGACTAGATGGGAAGGAATTTAAAAAGCAGTATCTGCTTCACCTTATGAACTTTCATGCTCAGTCATGTATGCTAGTAGGGAAAAAAGACACATTTTTTAACAGATGCTTAAGAATTTGAAGAACTAATGTTTTAGCTTTAATAAACTTAAGAAGTTTTCATACTAGCAATTAAAAATGGAGGAACAAAGGATTTACATTCTTTTCTTCTTTAATTCCTTTGGCATGCAAAATGTTGCATTGTTGCAAATGATATTTTGGATGCAGTTCTTAAGTAAGGTGTAAGATTTCCTGGGGAAGGCTTGTTTTAGTAGATTTTA